TGCTACACATGAATGCCTTTTAACTGCTGAGAGAAGAACCAAATTATTTGGTGGTGATAAGGAATGTTATAAATGTAGTGGCAAAACATAAAATATAATGCATGTGATAAGATATTGTGAAGTAGCGGATAGAGTTTGGAGTCGGTTAGGAGGCTGGACTCAATTTCCAGAGTTTCTTTTGTTACAAGGGAAGGAATAGATTAAGTGGGGACTATGTAGGCAAGATAATCTAAAGGCCACCGAATTTGGAGTGGCTTGTTGGCAGTTGTGGAACTGGAGAAACAAGGGTATGTTTGAAATTGGATTTAAAATGCCTGAATGTCCTGAAATAGTGATTGGAAAGTTTTCTAGAGAAATCTCACTATCTTCTAATATCGACTCTCCTATAAGCATCAAGAGGCAAGAAAGGAATATTAGTTGGATACCACTTGAAGATGGATGGTTTAAACTAAATTCTGATGGTGCAGCTAAAGGACAACTAGGTTTGGCAGGCTGTGGAGATCTATTGAGAGGCTATGACAGAAAGTGGATTACTGGGTATGCTAGAAGAGTTGGCGTGTGTACAGCAATAAAAGCGGAGTTGTGGGGTGTCCTCACAAGCTTGCAGCTGACAACTAAATTGGGCATACAATGTTTAATTATTGAATGTGATTATGTTGCTGTTGTAAAAATTTTAGAAAGCATTATAGCTAGTTCTGATATAGCTTCTGCTTTGTTAAGGCTTGTGAAAGCTGAATTGAATAAGCTGCCACAATTCAGGATCCAACATGTATAAAGAGAAGCAAATTATAGTGCTGACTATTTAGCTAATATTAGTTTTAGCATTGATAGGGTGCTGAGGGTTTTTGATGAGCCTCCCCAACAGGTTTTAGGATGCTTGTATAATGACTTTGTGGGTGTTGCTTTCCCACGTTCAGTTTTGACACAATAAGATAGGCTAAATGCCTCATATTATTTACCCCCAAAAAAAAAAGTATATGCATGCTGATTAGTGTTCACGCTCAAAACTCTACTTTAATGCAGGAAACTTTTTGATTTGATAGCGTACACTACTAGAAAAATAGCTTTAATGACATCATTTTACGGCAACAATAGAATTAAAATGAACTTAAAGGATGAAAGAAGAAGAAAGAAGCGATGGTGTCTGAATCTGAAGGAAGACTGACCACTAATAATAAGCTTCTGATCTGAATCTGATAATGTGACCTTGAAGATGATCCCAGATCCTTTGAAGCAGTAGGGCAGCTTTGAAAATGAACTTAGAGGATGAGAGAAGTGAGGAAGACGATATGGAAGGACACACATATATAATGAAGAAGCTAAAAGATGTAGGGAGGTGGGGACCTCTCCCTGCTGCGTTCTTAAATCTGACCTATAGCCACATTGTTAATATAATCCTACATCTCAACAACAAAATTAAAAATACTCTCCGATCATAAATATAAAAGTTAGATAACTAATTTCTTAATATTTAAAAAATTAGTTTGATTAATTACTGTAAAAAAATATGTCTTAGTCTTACTAAAGTGAGTATCCATTCTATTCATTTGTGTTGGTTAGTGCTTTTTAAACATAAAAAAAAGTTTAGAAAAATATTTATAAACTTGAGAGACAAAGTAAATTAAAATAATATATTTAGAATAAAAACAAACATATCTACTAATTCTTATGTTTAGAACTCAAGAAACATATATATGCGTATGTGCGCAAGAGATCGCATACATACATAAAATCTTCCACCATGGTATCGCGTGTTTGACCAAGTTTTCAAATAAATAAATGACAATAATTATAATAATAATTTCTGTGATTATGATCCACAAACCATGGCGAATCCTCAAGTGTTATGCTCATGTATAAGCTAGCTGTCTTCTATTCAGAAAATGGTAAGAATTTTTTCAAGTAATATTGTATACGATAAGAGATATCTTGAACATGATGCTTATAAATAAATATTATATGTATATTCTCCCAAACATCCTCAAGCTTGTACACGGAAATTTCGAACTTCTCTCAGAAAACTTCATCAACCACATGATGTTCCTTTTTGGGATAGATGAATTATGTATAAATATATATGTGTGCGCGCGCGCGTCAATTTAACTTAATGGCGGTGTGCAAAACCCTGTATATCATATCCTATATAGATTCCACAAGAAAACCAGGTCTTTGTTATGTCTTTTGTGATCTATTATTCTTTTATGCAGTATTTAATAAGCTAAGTTACTTCAGAAATGCCCCTCATGTCACATTCAAGTGTTTCCCCCATCCATGATGCATGGGACAGAATAATTGTTCAATGTCTGGTTCCCATCATGATATTAATGACAAATTAATAAATCACAGCATTAAAATTTATGTACTACGTGGACCAGTAGCTTAGCTAGCAACATGATCTCTACAATACTGCTTCAACTAAGGGTTTTTTAGAATGATTTATAAGTAATTTTTTAACTATAATTTATAAAATACGAGATAAATATATGAAAAGAATTTTATTTTGATTTACGTAAAATATACTTATAAACACTTTTTAAATATGATTTCGAGATAGACTCTAAAAGGATCTATCAAAGACTAATGGACAGAAGGAGTTATGAATAATAATAATAATAATAATAATAATAATAATAATAATAATAATAATAATAATAATGTTTCCCATCCCCACCAAAATAATAATTAATAATAGGAAAAATTAATCTTTTGGTCCTTTAACTTTTAACTCACTTATAACTCGGTCCCTTAACTATGACTCACTTTAACTCAATCCTTCAACTTTTAACTCGCTTATGACTCAGTCCTTTTTATTTTTAGTTTTTAAAAAAATGATCCTTATCATCCATTAGTCATCCCAACTCGTCCTACATGGAAGAAAACGCTGTTAACGCCGTTAATAATTACTGATGTGGTTGCCTAGTCATACACACCTGGAATTCACATGAAACTGATTGAAAAAAATGTTTTCAACTAGGGTAGGGCTTGCAAAGAAAAGAGAAGTAACCCCCATAAAGACGAGAAAAAAACGCACAAGTAAGGAGGGCTAGCGGCACGAAGAAGACGACTAGACCGGAAAAGAACAGGAAGACTAGAATAGACTAAATCGTGAAGAAGATAAAGAAACACTGTAGAGGCGACAAAGAAGATCAGATAAAAGAGTAACTTTTTACAGTTGCAGAGGGATATCGGTAAGGGAGAAAGGTGCAATTTGTAACAATACATCCATGCGCTCCATGTGCTTTAGTGGTCTCACTGTGTATTTGAATAATATGTGTTCTATATTTATCTTGTTTCTCGATTATGGCTGTTTTCAGTGGTCCCCATGCTCGTAGATGTCTGATCTGAATTCATGATAATATTTGATTAAATGAAATAAACAATATACTATGTTTCTGGAGATCATAGTGCTTGATTCATTGATTGACCGTACAATTGTGCAAAAATATTAAAATATTCAAATAACAACATTACATTGAACCGCATATCCATCAAAAATCCTAAACATATTTGGTTTTGCCTTCATAGTCATTGTCAGCATCATTATTAAGCTTTCATCAAACTATGTAAATGATACATGTTGAGTTTTTATTTCAGGAAAATCTTTTTTTTTTTAATGCAAAGTGACAAAGAGATTGGGAAGACCCATAAACAATGTTAAAACATGCCTATGCTTGATTCTCTCTTTTTGTCTTTTTAAGCTAATTAACCATGATTATTAATTGCCGTTTTTTTTTCCAGTGTGATATATATATGGATGCGTCAAATAGCTTGGGTAAGTGAGTACTTCCAATTAATATTAATATTACAATATAATTTGCGTGGTTTATGTGATGTCTAACCATATGATAAAAATTAGGGGGTGATGGAGGGAGTAGTGATGAAGACAATGAGTTTACTGTTGAGGAAGATGATGATACTTTTTGTGAAGAAGATAACATGTCATTAGATAATGTGGATGCCTTAATATTGACTGATGATGAAGATGCAGGCTCTTTATCATCTAATCGCAAAACTGATTCATTAAAATCTATAGATGAATCTGATTTGGATTTGGAAGAGGGCGTTGTGACAAGTGGGTGCAAAAAGTATAATCCAGATGAGATGTGCAAAGACTATATCTTTGAACTTGGAATGGAGTTCACCTCAATTACTCAATTTAGGGAAGCTGTTGGGGACTATTCACTTTTGAATGGGTATGAAACAATATACATTAAAAATGATAGTGTATGGTGCTGTATAAAGTGTGTACGTTGTGATTGGTTAATATTTGTGAGTAAGGAGAGGGATTCCATGACATATCGTTTGAAGACTTATAATCCAAGACACACTTGTGGTGTGACTTTTAGTTCTAAGAATGTTTCATCTAAATGGGTGTCAGAAAAGATTAAAAATAGAATAAAGACAAATAAGAATATGAGTCTTGGAGATGTGATATCCACAATTAAAGAAGATTATATGGCAGATGTGTCAGTGCCTAAGGCTTATTGGGCACGAAGAAAGGCAAAACAAGCTATTGAAGGTGATTTTGTAGATGAGTATAAGAGACTATGGGATTACAACAATGAGGTCCTCTCAAAAAGTCCTGAAACTACATTCAAAATTTTGACAGATCGTCCCTTTATTGATAGAGCACCAAGATTCAAAAGATTATATCTTTGTTTGGATGCTGTCAAGATAGGATTTTTAGCAACATGTAGACCGATCATTGGCTTAGATGGATGCTTTTTGAGGGGACCTTATGGTGGAATATTGCTGGTAGCAGTAGGACGTGATCCAAATGAGCAGTATTTTCCTTTAGCAATAGCTATTGTTGAAGGTGAAAATTGAGATTCATGGTCATGGTTTTTTGAGCATATTCTAAATGACGTAGGAAGAACACAAAGATGGGTCTTTATTTCTGACCAACAGAAGGTAATTGATAGGCATTTATATTTCTTTTATCCATATGCATTTATGTCTTTTGTGGTTTTACAATATATTTTTTGTTGTTGTAGGGATTAATGCCAACATTTGAGTCACTTCTTCCTGAAGTTGAGCATCGCTTATGTGTTAGGCATTTATATGCCAACATTAAGAGTAGATATAGTGGTGGGTCTGTGATTAGAGATTTGGTGTTGCAAGCTGCGAAAGCAACATATGTCAATGGATGGAAGCAAAAAATGCATGAGTTGAAAAATAAATCTAAAGAGGCTCATGATCATTTGATGAAGTTCCCTCCACAATGTTGGACAAAATCTCATTTCAGTGAATATCCAAAGAGTGACATGATTATGAATAACATATGTGATTCATTTAATGGGAGGCTTTTAGAGGCTCGAGAACTTCCAATCATTAGTTTATTAGAATGGATTCGCACTTACATCATGAAAAGATTTCAAGAGAATAGAAAGAAGGCAGAGAAATTTAGAAGTCATGGAAGCGTATGTCCGAATCCAAGATGGAGGTTGGACAAAGAAGTTAGTCAATCACGAAAGTGGGTTGCACGACAAGCAGGAGAATTTGAATTTGAGGTCTCGTGTTACTCGCACAAATTTTCAATTGACCTTGCTACTAAGAGTTGTACTTGTAGATGGTGGGATTTAACTGGAATACCTTGCAGGTTTGTTACAAATTTTAGAGTTATGTTTGAATATTTGAATTGTAGGCATGTAGTTATTAACACATTATTAATTCTTAATTGCAGGCATGCAGTTAGTTCAATTTACGCAAAAAGAAAAGACCCTCATGATTATGTTCATCCCTACTTGAAGATAGATGCTTATGTTGAGTGTTACTCTCCCGTGGTGAAGCCGATTAATGGACAAGAAATGTGGGAAGTAATAAATAAGGAGGAGATGGACCCTCCGTCCTATCATAAAGACCAGGAAGACCTCCAAAATTAAGAAAAAGAGCACCTGATGAGCCTTCCCAACCTAATAAGATTCGAAGGACATCCTCAAGACTTCGTTGTTCTTACTGTAAAAACTATGGGCATAATAGAAGAACATGCAGTGCCAGTAGAAGTTCACAACAAGAGTCTACCAGTACAACACCTTCATCACAACCCTAATAATAGAAGATCCTTTATATGCATATGTGGTCTAGGCCTTTTTTGAACCTTGTTGGATTTATTTGGAACTTCTTTTGATGTTTTTGGAAATATTGTGGATATGTTTGTAAAGTCTTAGATGTATTTGGAATTACTTTTTTGGGTAAAACATTAAGTATAACATTATGATCCATTTTGTATCTTTATAACAGATGAAATATAGAAGTAAGATAATTTGAAGAATGCAACTGATGGTGCTAATAATTAATTAGTTATCAGTATTTGATATGGAGAAGATCAGGTTCACCTCGGTAAAATGACAAGAAAATTCTTGTGCGGCTTTCATATGATATATGAGAAAATAGTTTTTCAAAAACTAGAATGATATTTACGATTTAATAAGGCAATGACCAATATCCTATAGCATTCTTGCGTGGCTTTCATCTACTATGATTGTATTTACAATTTTTTGGTTTCTTTTATGAATATATCCTTTTATGTTTTTATTCCTTATAATTCATTATTCACATAAGAATGTCTAAATATCAACTATGTTGTCAATGAAAATCCCAAAAAACACACAAGTCCGGGGATTCAAATGGGTGCATTAAATCATACTCATTAAACACATTGTCATTGATTGTATTTCACTTTGCCCAGCTACGCATTACAATATCAAAATCTACAAAACTCTTGCCCATAGAGGCATTCTTACACACCTTATAATACAAAGCTACATGTACTATTACATAAATAGTATACTCATAAATAGTCCTAGTTCACAATATAATGCATCTCCAAATGGGGCTGCTTGATCCTCAACTTTTGTCTCTTTGCTACAATGGGTTATGGCAAATTAGAGAATTGGGTATCTCTAAAAAAAACCAGTTACAGTTACGGGCTTCATAGGCACCCCTCCCTCCTTTTGTTGCAATAAACAGTATACTCTTTTCTTCATCTTATATCATCTCAAACCTTGTATCAGGCAAAGATTCAAAAATAAATCACAAGACCAATTCAGCTACAAATGTTTAAAAAAAAAAAGATTCAGTCATTTAGTTGAATAAATCAGAACATAATGCTATGTAATTTTCAAACACACAAGTGCTTAAGACAACAAACCAGAACCTTCCTTACAATTTCCTACCATTACTAAAGTGAAGAAAAAATAGAAGCATATTATCATATCTGTGTACTTTTACATCCTCTTCTTACATCACATCAAAATTAAAAGTCTTGATAGTCCCGTAGCAAGACCATGAAAGCCAAGGACTACCAAAAGTAAGAGGGGGGAAGCAAAAGTTTTACCAAACCTCATCAATAAGCTGACAAAAGTAAAGAGAAACCCAAAATGAATAAAATAAAGAGGGAAACCCAAAATGAATAAAATAAAACAATATTACGGTGAAATATGTGCAGAACTCCAAATGCCAATAATTACAAAGGAGTGAGTGATCATTGACCATAGAGATGACAAAAAAAAAAGGCGAGTGAGATGACAGAACAACTAGGAAGCAACCAACAATAAACATCACTAAAGAAAAAAGATTTGATAGAAGCTTCCATGAACACACACCGGAGAAGAGAAGAAGAGAAGAAAAATTAACTACTCAAAGAACAAAGGATGAAAATGATGAAGTAACAAGTGACGACCTTCAAAGACGCAGACCGTGATGGAGAAGAAGCAAATAAGCTCGATTTTCTCTGGCTGATGATGCTATTTCTTCTCATCTTTTGTTGCTCAAAACTCTCCGGGCCCTAAATCAACTTTTCTTTTTTGTTTTTTTAACCTCTTGCTGATACATGATATCAAGGGAAGCTGAATCATTTTTTTTTTTGGCCAGCTAGGATACCTCAGTCATGACAGAAGATGAGTCATGGATGACAAAGGACAAAAAAATAAACGGTTCAAAAGTTAAAGGACTGAGTTATAAGCGAGTTAAAAGTTAAGGGACTGAGTTAAAGCGAGTCATAGTTAAAGGACCGAGTTATAAGTGAATTAAAAGTTAAAGGATTAAAAGATTAATTTTTCCTTAATAATATATATCACATGATGAAAACGATGTTTCTGACGTATGGTTGGCCCTGGGTACTTGGGTTTTCTCCATCAATATATGGACCCGATCCATCATATATAGCCGCCTGCACATGCCTATCAATTAATGATGATTCCGATGTCCCATCGGATCATTGGTTTCATTTTCAACTCCCTTCACATCACAATGTACCCTACTAAGATTCAAGCATTAAAAAAAAAATCACTTTGAAGAACACAATCCATAAAACTGAAAATTCATTGCACAAGAAAAAGATAAATAAAAAGAGGAAAAATGAAAAAAAAAGTGATAAACCAAAGTTTAAATTCTCATTAGAAGAAGTGTCTACATTGAGTGTCTGATCATAATCTGAACAGATTTCAACAAAACAATACATATACTTAGAGAAAAAAAGAAAAAAACAAAAAAGGAGTTAGCACCTACAATATTTGGGATTTGCCTTAGAAGAAACCTTGATGAGTAGTATAGTCACAATGAAGTATTATTCTCACGACAACCTCATGACCCATGAGAAACGTTTCTCCTCATTGAGCACTACATTGGGTTTCTTCATATAACTCCCGGAAGAGCATCCTTTATATCCTATATCACTGCAAAAAAACAGCTGATTAGAGACGGAATTTGTGACGGAAAAAAATTCTGTCACTAATTTCTAACGGAAACAAATTCCGTCGCTAATTTTCAATGAAATTCTATCACTAATTTTTTTTGATGGATTAGAGACGGAATTTCTGTCCGTCACTAAATTCCATCGCTAATCAGTTAAAAAATCCGTCAATAAATATTTAGCGACAGAATTAGGACGGAATTTTTTCCGTCAGAAATTTCTGTCGCTAATCCGTCACTAATTTTAAATTTTGTTATTTTAAATTATAATCTTACAAAAATTTATATAATAACAATTAAGAATATAATGATTTAAAAACATTTTTAATTATAAAATAAATTGATATATTTGTGGAGTTAGTGTTAATGAAGATATCATCATCATTCATGTCATCATTATGTATACACTGAAAATAGAAAGACAATTTCTTAGAAAACTTGTTTATATTTTGTTAAAATAAATTCCTCTTGATTATTAATAATAATTAAAAAAATATAATAAGAATACTAATAACTTTCTTATACAAACTGATATAAGAAAGAAATAATTTTACCATATGTAAAATATATTGAAATATATAATATATGACAGAAATTCAAAACCAAAAAATGAATTTATATGAATGCCAGCTAATTCCGTTACTAATTCCGTCGATAAATAAAAAATTTCATCACTAAATTCTGTTGCTAAAAGCATTTTTTTTGTAGTGATATCCCTTTCTTTTTTCTTCCTTTTTACATTTAATATTTTATAAAAATACTATTATAATTTTGTATAAAATACATAAATAAATTTAAATTGTTAAAATTTTATCTGAATGCTTTACAATTATAGTGGGGGAAAAAGTTGAAAATTCTATTTTATAGTAATAGTGGGCAATTATAAGCTACATTAAGATGAAATTTTAACATTTTGTTTTGACGAACTTTCAACCGTTTAAATTTGATGAGAGGTTTTTAATTAGAAAATTTATTGGCCAAAATGACTAGAATTTGAGCGAATGCAACTCTTTTTCAGTTATAATATATCTTCGGCGACAAGTAAATAATTTTTGTTTTGAAAGTCTTTGCACCTAGTTAAAAATAAATTGCACAAAGCAAGGTTGTATGTTGCCCGCTCACTTGCCCTGCTACCTTTTTTTTTTTTAGTGTCCCTGTTCAATTTTTTTTATTTTTAAATCAACACATGATATTCCGTACAAGGATTGACAACTATCGCGGTTAGTTTGATAACACATTTTCTCAGCATATCACAAAATGTAACACATGAGTTGTCAAACCAGCCGTGATAGTTGTTAATCATTGTACCATAAATTGTCACCCACTGCTCTTTCAGTTGTTAATACAAATTTTAAAAAAAACAAGAAGAAGAATAATTTGATAATTAAACAAATAAAATTTATTACAAAAAAATCCCTTGAGATTTCAGAATAATTTTATGATTTCAAGAGACCTTTTTGTATTTAATTCTCTTGGGTGGGACCTAATTGTAATTCTCTCAAAAGAAAACAAAATTGGCCCCAAATAATTTGTTTTAATTTTAATACTTGCCATTTCCGAAAAGAAATCCATCCTAAATCCAAAAATCTTTAATATACACCTAAATATAAAAATTAGTTAAATAATTTGAGTAGATTATAAAAATAAGTTAAGTTAATTATTTGTAATAAATATATATTGTCTTTCCTAAAATATCTCTATTAATCAAGTTTATTAGTTAGAATTATTATTATTATTAGAAAGGCTATCTTGTAAAAAAATGAATAAATATGAGAGACATGGTTGATTTGAGTCTTGTATTTAGGACCAAATAAGAGTTAAATAAAGTCTTATATTAAAGACAAAAAAATAATACTATATATATAATATGTGCCCATCCCAACGTGCATATATTTTAACCAATAGAAATAAATAAATAAAAAGTATACTACTGTCTACTGCCCAAAAATTAGAGAAAATGACCCCAAAAAAAAAAAATCTAACTGTTGAATTTTAAAAAGACAAATAAGTCATCTTTATTACTATTATAATAGTTTTGACTACTTTTTCAAAATCTATCGAAATTATTTATTTGTTATTTTGAAATTCAATAAGTATTTTTTGTCATTTTTTCCGAAAAAAGTATATTGTATTTTACTACTTTATATTCCCTCTAGTCTTTTTTATAAGATCTTATTGACTAAATTTCACAGTTTAAGAAAAAAAGCTAAAATTAATTAGAGGCAATAAATATGTAAAAAAAAAACTTCTTTTTCTTAAATATCTCATCATTTAATAAGGGGCAAATGAGATAGAGAAATAATAGTAATAAGATGAAAGATGAAAGATAATGAAATATGAGAAAAAGATTAGGACAGGAAAAAAACTTAATTAGGAGAAAAATTGATAAAAATATATTTAATATTAAGACAATCATTAATAGAATCTTATAAAAAAGACTAAAACGATTTAAATTTTAGAACTTTATAAATAAGACCGTCGGAAGTATTACCAATTTAGATAGAAATAGAATATAAAGTTTATTATTATTATTTTTTTTTTTGGTTACTTTTCATTTACAGGAGATTAGCCGCGACGCCATGTGAACAATTAATGAGGCGATTTTCATTTAATATTTACTAAAATCTGCACCATTCAAAGTCTGATTTAAATCATTCATATTTAAAATTTTTGCTTGCAATTTTTTAATAAAAAATTTATTTTTAAGAAATATCAATTAGGAAAAATTGCAAATGAAGACCCCCAATATATAAAATAGCAATCAGGGACCCTGAATTTGAGAAATTGCTCCAGAGGACCCGGTCCCAATTTGCAATTATGAAATGTGTGTTAAATGGCTGAAATGCCCCTCACTCATCATCATTGTTAATGAAGGCAGAGACCAAGATTTTAATGGGTGGTGGGAGAGCTGGTGGAGTAGGATGAGCCGAACGAGTATGTGTGATATTGGGATCTTCTAACATTGGCAATAATGCGAGTAACTTATTGAGTAAACCCTTCTTGTATTGTTCCCCGTAAGAGTTACACATCGTCACATTCTCCATCTTCATCTCTGCTGTGTGGGTGAGTAGGCTGGAGGAAGGGAGGGAATGGGAGGTGTAGTTGAAGATGAAAGATATCACAATGTAGGAGGTTGTGGTTAGTTGGAGGTGGGATATTTTTGTTTTCATAGTCTGAACGGTCATCTGTCATTTGTAGTGCACAGTGCTGGTTGCGATGGGGAAGGGGTCAGAGTGTAGTGTTTTGGCAGAGTGTAGGTTGGATAATGGCTGTTAGTTTGACCGTGAACGTTGAGGTGTTGCCGTGGAATGAGGGAATGACGATACCATGATTTTCGGTGTTGAAGTCGTCAAGCCCTAAAGTGAAGTTGTGAAGCCCTAAAGTGATGTTGGGAAGACAGGAGGTCACTGGTTTTTAATTTGGTATGTAAATGGTTGAGTCGATGAAATAAATGAGTAAATATTTATTAGTGAAGCTAACGTACTGACTAAACGTAAATTTTTGCTGCAGATTAGTATGAAAAATGGATTTCAATAACCGAAGAAGCTGTGGGAAGGAGTTGTTCTGTTACGTGCACATTGGTGGACATTTTGAAGCAAATGGTGAAGGGATAGTTAAATATATTGGAGGGAGTGTAAGGGTAACCAGTATAAAAGAATGGATAACAGTAGACGAGTTGTGTGGAATAATTTCACAGTAGATAGGCAATGATGGTGGTGGATATGAGATTAAGTATAAAGTTAAATTTGATGAGAGTACATTGATTGATCTTTGTGATGATGGTGATATCAGCAACTTGTTTAGATATAATGACGGCAGTAGTCATGTGTATGTAGGAGGGAAAGGGAATGATAGGGAACCTAGAGCAAGGAATGATCCAGACGTGTAAGTGGTTATGTTTTCCAATTGAATCTTGTTATTTACTAATATATTGTTGGTAATTCGTATAGAAATATTGTAACGAAGCTAATGGTGTTGCAGTCCTAAATTGTAATTAGTAAATGCAAGCATGATATTGATCATAGTGGACATGTCATTTCCATTTGTAAACTTGTGTTTTAGAAATGCAGACTTGTTATTAGACATAAGCAGAGATTTCCATATGTAGACTTGTAATTCAACGTATTGAAGTTATAATTATCATATACGGACTTGTTATTTAGATCTATAAATGTTATTTTACTAACCAGTAGTTTCTATATGGAAACTTGTTATATGAGTAACTCAAGTTGTAATTACCATATACGGACTTGTTAATTGAGCAAGGAATTGTTTGTAGATGTAGACTTGTTATTTTAGTTAGTAAAGTTGTAATAACCATATGCGGACTTGTTATTTAGATATGTAGACGTGTTATTTTATTCAAACCTGTCGTTTGAGTATAGCTGTCCTAACTTGGTATTATGGTGGCAGGAGTGAGAATTTATTTGGACTTTCACAATACATGAATACATTTGAAACGACCATTGGTGATGAACATGAGCCAGTGAATGTTGAGAATGGAGTTGAATGCCTAACTTTTGAAGGAGGCGGATCAAGTCAGAGAAGCAAGTGTAGTGGTTCAGAGAGTCAGGGAAGACTGACGGGCGAGATGAATTGTACGAAATGGGCAGGAGTGTTTGTAGGAGTGGGCCAATATGTTCCACATGCTGTTGCTTTTAGGGAAGCTGTGTACAGGTTCAGTATTGCAGAGAAGTTTGCAGCGAGATATATCAGGAATAGTAAGGAGAAGATGAATGTGAGGTGTAAAGTAGAAGGGTGTCCTTGGAAGATATGTGCAAATGCTGTTGGAAAGAACAGTCATCTATTACGTGTGACTACATTTTGCAATAAGCACATTCATTCAGCCCAAGACAATTTGATTGTGACTTATGGTGGGAGTGCTACGTTGACATCATCAGTAATAGTTGAAAAGATAAGGGACCATGCTGAAAAACGGCCCACTGAGATAAGAAAGATGTTGGAGAGGGAGTATGGTGTGAGGCTTACATATTGTCAGGCATATAGAGCAAAGGAAAAGGCAATGGAAGAAATACATGGGAAACCGGAACAGTCCTATATGTTAATACCATGGTTATGTGAAAGGTTGAAGGAAACTGATGACAAAACGGTTGCTGAATGGGCCTCCATTGGTAATAGATTTGAGCGTGTGTTCATTGCATACGGTGCATGTGTTGAGGGTTTTTTGAACAGTGCAAGGCCTATATTATATGTTGATGGTACTCATTTAAGTGGTCCATATAAGGGGACGTTACTGTCAGCTTCGGCATATGATGCGGATAATGAGATGTTGCCGTTTGCAATAGCAGTGGTGAAGGGAGAGAATCTTGATGACTGGACGTGGTTTTTTCACAAGATTAAACAAATAGTTGGTTCAATGCAACTGACTATTGTGTCAGATAGACATAATTCTATAATTGGTGCTGTGCAAGCAATATTTGGGGGTGAAAGGCATGCATACTGTTATAGGCATGTGAAGGAGAACTTTAGCTCTGAATATATGAAATTAAACAGAGGTTAGAGAAGGACAAGTGAAAATTCAAAGGAAGATGCATTAAAGGTACTGGATAAAGTGGCTTATGCAAGACTTGCGGATGAGTTTGATCATGCGCTGGATGATCTCAGAACCATGTCTCATGAGTTATATGAGTGGGTTATCAATCAAGGTGATGTGGATAGGTGGCCATTAAGCAAGTTCCCATATAGAAGGTGGGACAACATAACAACTAATTTAGCTGAATCTTTTAATGCTTGGATGGTAAGGGAGAGGAAGCATAACGTGGCCCAAATGATCCATGAGCACCGGGAGAAAGTAGCAAGAAAGATGCATGCATCATATGCAGCAATGACTAAGTGGAGTAATTGCGTTGGGCCAAAAATAGAGGCAAAAGTATTGGAGCATGTGTATTTCGGTAGGTACATGCACTGTGAGAATTATGGAGGGGGAAGAATATGCATGCACACATCACGTGGAGACCAAAGAGTGGACCTTGGCCTACACAAATGTAGCTGTGGAACTTGGCAAATGTTAGGGATTCCATGCTCACATGCTTATGCAGCCATTAAGATCATAGGGGGAAACGTTTATGATTATGTTGAAGAGTGTTACAAACGTTCATCCCAAGAAAAAATCTATGCCCGGAGCATGGTTCCAGTAGTGACAATTGATATGCCTCACCTGAATGACTATACGTTTGAGAATCTTACTGCTCAACCCTTGCTTTTACCTCCAGTCACTGCTAGGCCTTCTGGAAGACCAAGAAGAAATAGAAAGGAATCAAAATTCCACAACAAAAAAATATATCATTGCACTAGATGTCTTCATCCTGGACATACAAAGAGGACATGCAAAAATCCTAACCCAAGTTGACTTCTACTTACAAATGGGACAACTAATTTTTTTGGCACATATAGGGTTCATCCTTCTTAATTTTTTTGGGAGCAGGATGTTAGTAGATGTGCACATATATTTTTTGTTACTTCTATGTTTGGGACAAAGGGACATTAAGTGGAAGATGTAAGTTAATGTGCACTTGTCATTGAATGTTGTAAAGAACTTGTTGTTGTGAAAGAAATAAGAACTTGTCACTTCTTGTTATTTTGCATAGTTAAGTTGTCATTTGCTTTTGTGCACTTGTAATTTCATGGTCATCAGAAGTGGTTGCTGTCAGAAATGTGCAAAGTGTAATTCCGTGTTTATCAGAAGTGGTTGCTGTCAGAAAACGAAATGTGTCAAAACCTTATAGGAACTTGTCATGTGGCATAGTAAAGTTGTCATTTGGCAATATGAAGTTGTCATTCCGTGTTTATCAGAAGTGGTTGCTGTCAGAAAACGGAATGTGTCAAAACCTTATAGGAACTTGTCATGTGGCATAGTAAAGTTGTCATTTGGCAATATGAAGTTGTCATTCCATGTTTATCAGAAGTGGCTGCTGTCAGAAAACGAAATGTGTCAAAACCTTATAGGAACTTGTCATGTGGCATAGTAAAGTTGTCATTTGGCAATATGAAGTTGTCATTCTGTGTTTATCAGAAGTGGTTGCTGTCAGAAAACGAAATGTGTCAAAACCTTATAGGAACTTGTCATGTGGCATAGTAAAGTTGTCATTTGGCAATATGAAGTTGTCATTCCGTGTTTATCAGAAGTGGTTGCTGTCAGAAAATGGAATGTGTCAAAACCTTATAGGAACTTGTCATGTGGCATAGTAAAGTTGTCATTTGGCAATATGAAGTTGTCATTCCATGTTTATCAGAAGTGGCTGCTGTCAGAAAACGAAATGTGTCAAAACCTTATAGGAACTTGTCATGTGCCATAGTAAAGTTTTCATTTGGCAATGTCAACTTGTCATTCTGCATTGATTAGAAGTGGTTGCTCTTGGAAATGTGCAATGTAATCACTGTCTTCAAAAGTATGAAAATGTATTAAAACCTTCTGGGAAATTGTCATTTTCCATAATAAACTTGTCATTTCCCTTTCTGAAGTTGTAACTTTGTGTTCACCAGTAGTGAAAATCCAGTTGTTTCATGAAAACATTATTCGAACTTGTAATTTTCGATAGTGAACTTGTCACTTTCGTTTGTGAACTTGTCATTCTATGATTATCGTAAGTGGGAATCCACTAATTTCAACATAGAATCTCGGTTTCATGAAAACTTTATCGGAACTTGTAAATTTCCCAAGTCAACTTGTCAATTTCCTTAGTGAACTTGTCATTCCGTGACTATCATAAGTGGGAATCCACTAATTTCAACAGACAATCTCGGTTTCATGAAAACTTTATCGGAACTTGTAAATTTTCCGAGTCAACTTGTCAATTTCCTTAGTGAACTTGTCATTCCGTGATTATCATAAGTGGGAATCCACTCATCTCAACAGACAATCTTGGTTTCACGAAAACCTTATGGGAACTTGTAAGTTTCACTAGTCAACTTGTCAATTTCCTTAGTGAACCTGTCATTCTGTGATTGTCGTAAGTGGAATTCCACTAATTGGAACAAAAATTTTCCCTTGCATGAAAACATCTTGGGAACTAGTGATTTGGCATTGTCAACTTGTCATTTTCCTTTATCAACCTCTCATTCCGTGAATCAATGTGTAAATTTAGCCACCTTTAATACAGAATCACAAATTTGTATGAAAACCTTTTCACAAGTTGTCATTGGCCATAATGAACTTGTCGTTACCCGTACTAAACTTGTCATTGGCCATTTGGCCTGACTAAAGGGAAATTTGTCATTCCAAATATAAGTGTTGTTATACCATCAATCCAAGCATATCATAACCATTACAATAATTGGCATACAATTTCAACAAATGAATCAATTGACAAAGTTAGTAAAAGTCACAGCCTAATTTAAATGCTCTCTATAAAGACGTTCTCCTCTTCTTGGTCATTCGGCCCTTCTCTGGTTGTGAGATAAGATCATACACCTTATGATGGCATTCATTGTCATCATGGTTCACCAGCCACCACATCAGCTCGCGCCGAAAAGAGGACACATCAGCCTGCACAGCAAGTTTACCACCAAACAAGTCACACGTGGTCACTCTTGATTGCACAATAAATAAGGTAATGTCAATACCTCGGTATATTCAAGGGAAACATCAGGCTCCCATTTCTTGAGCCATATGAGCACATGCACACCACAATCCCTCCTGCCCACAACACCACCCTAACAGTTTCAGCTCCTCAAACCAACACAGCCAAATAACATATCACATGAGTAGGGTGTCAACACTCACAAATTTTTCTGCTGTGGTACATCAGGCCAGACAATTTCCAAGTTATCACTAAAATCTAGTTTGACCATGTGAAGTATGTCTTCAAACCGATCCCTCTGCACATATGCCATATTCATCAAAAGGATAATAATATAAAACTGTCATTTCCCTATCTAACATGCACAGGTCAGTAACATCTTACACATCCGGTGATGGCCATTTCTTGGGGGTCATATGTGGCTGCCTTCTTCTGCTTGGAGGTGGTCTTCTTACGCTGTAAACTTGCTCGCATGGAATCAGGGACATTAAACTTTTGGGTCTTTGGTTCGAATACAAAACAGAACCAATGCTCCCCAACTAGAGCAGGACCCAAAATCAAGTCACAGTCACCTATGTTGTAGCCAACATAATGCGGAAGTATTTGTCGTGCATGCTGGTTAGGATCCCAACGAGTTGGATCACGGGTCATTATGGCCTGTGAAATGCAGAAAACCAAGTTCTTATTCACTGTAACACATTTTATTCTGTCATTTTCATTTCCAATCTTGTAAATCAACAAAGCCTATTAGTAATACAGAAACCTCACCATGAAGTCTGCATTAAATATATGCCTCCTAACTCGGCCTTCAACTGCCTGCTGCTCTTGCACCAAAGCCTTACAGACCAATGACATCACTCGGTTACTCACCCTGTTATTTCCACCAAGCGAATGCAGCAACCGTCGGGGGATGTCTTCATCAAATATTCTGATCAAAGGACTGAAACATATTCAAGTGAGTTACTAGATGTGTTATGTTAACATGTAGTCAACAAATAAGATCACATAAGCAAAAATTTTCACTTACATCTCACCCTCATCACCTTTGACAGCTCGACTGACTAAGTTGAAAAAAATATCCTTGGGCTTCATAGGCCTCTTCACTCTTGATTGTGCCTTCAACTCCAACCAAGGAGACTTGATCTTGCTGAACCGAACCCTAGTAGATCTCCTTAGTTGTTGTGCCTGTTGGAAATTGTGCCCTAGGGGCCAATCATTATGTTTTGAACATTGTTAATTTATGAATTTATTAATTACGTTATCACATTATTTGCATGTTTACTGTGATGACTATCCTTGGATAACTCATGGTTTATCCTAAATGTCCCTGGTCGGTCATCTCTGTGGAAGCACAGATGAAATAAGACTAAGACCAGTATGACTTTAAAGATATATAGAGATATAAATTAAAGTCATAGGCACATGTAAGAGTACAAGGTGTTGGACCGACCCGCTAAGAGAGAGCTGCATGGGTTAAGTCATAAGCTTCTCTCATATACAAACCATGTCACTATATCCTTTGACCTGAGATCATCATGGATTCCTACATGAGAAACGCTTAGCTTTGACCTAGTCAAAAGTCACTTTTGACCGAGTGATCATAAAGACTATGTTCAGGCTTAGTGTTTTTTCATGCGGAGGAATGTGAATGGTCAAGATGGAATTTGTCCCTCACATTCGTAGAGAGACATTACTGGGCCCCTCGATGAGTGAGTCTGAGAAATGTATAGCCATACTATAATAGAAAGGTAGTTCCGTTTCTATACTCAGACTACTCAGGGATCGAGAAAGTAACGGTCATGAATAGGAGGATGACGTTCTCCATGTCTCATCCATGACCAAAATGTCGTGTGACAAAAGGGACGTGATATGGTTGTATGAAACGTTGCATCGTTCAATGATCCTCAAATGATTTGGGTAGTCGTGATGTCTTGCTAGAGACCGCTTACGACTTGTGAGTCATTATAGTTAATGGCCCACTGCCAACTTTATATGGGCCTATAGGGTCGCACACAAAATAGCCCAACACGAGTTATGATGTCCAGATTCATTGAATCTAAGATATGTCCAGATTCAATGAATAATATAGGGTGGACGTGTATATATATATAAATTCGTATATATATATAAATATAAGAGATATTAATTGTTAGATTTAATTTATAAGGATAAATTAAATATATATAAATTAATTCCGTCATCTCTTTATTAAATAAATAGGTGAATTAAATCTGTGAGACGGATTTAATTTAAACCATATTTATTTAATTGTTCTCTTATCTGATTAGGCAATATTTGATATTGTATTAATTTCGGAATTAATTTAGAGTTAATTTCGAAATTAAATATTATTCATTAAACCTATAGCATCCTATATATTTGATATGAGGAGCTAGGGTTTTAGCGTGAGAGGACCAACAGATAAGAGACGGCCTAAGAGAGATAAGAGTGGACGGATTCTCTGAAAACCCTAGACGAACATAGACGCTAGCACGTCGTTCGAGGTTGAGGGCTACTCGTGTGGATACCGGTAGAGGAAGCCAACCGGAGTTGTCGACTTCGAACGACAAAGGAGGCGAGCAGAAGCATCCTGAACGGCCGAATCATCGAGTCACTAGGAAATCGAACGCCTAAAGGTAATGCTTCTTACTACCTGACTTAAACGCGATCGGTAGATCTGGGAAAGGGATTGAAAGTTTTAAAATTTCGAGTTGTTTTTTTCCGCTGCGCGTCGTCTTTCAATTCCCTTCAGTGCCTCCACAGATACAGGTTCTGGATCAGGCCCAACATATTCAACAATGGCCAGGGGGGATACCTCCATCGGTGAGTG